ACAACTGTATTGAGATGTTCAAGGTCCCTATAGCACCGTGTAGAGACATGCTAAAGCATGTGCGCGCCCAAACCTGTTGAGCAGACTTAGAATTAATAGTCTACAATGTCTCAACACGTCCAGCGGTACACAATCCCCAACCCCCAGCCAACCCAGGCCTGGAGAATGTGCAGCAGATCCAGGCCACTGAGCGCGCGTTTGCGGCCATCCTGGCCAATGGCTCCGTCGTGACCTGGGGCTTTGCGCAGGGTAGTGATTATGGTGGCAACAGCGATGGTGTACGAGCTCAACTGAAAAACGTGCAGCAAATCCAAGCCACCGATTCCGCGTTTGCAGCTATTTTGGGTGATGGATCTGTTGTAACCTGGGGCCATCCTAATAACGGTGGCAGCAGCCGTGCCCTACAAGGTCAGCTCAAGGGAGTGAAGCAGATTCAGGCTTCGAAGTGCGCTTTTGCAGCGATCCTGGCTAATGGATCTGTTGTGACCTGGGGCGATAATAGCAGTGGTGGCAATAGCCTTCGTGTGCAACATCGGCTCAGAAATGTGCAACAAATCCAAGCCTCCGGTTTTGCCTTTGCTGCGATCCTGAGCGACGGATCCGTTGTGACCTGGGGCCAGCACAATTTTGGTGGTGATAGCACCGCGGTGCAAAATCAGCTGAAGCACATTCGGCAGATCCAGGCCTCGGAGCGTGCTTTTGCAGCCATCCGGGATGATGGATCCGTCGTAACCTGGGGCGCGTGGAAAGGCCGCGAGGATCATGGTGGCAACAGCGACGCTGTGCAACATCGGCTGCAAAATGTTCAACACATCCAGGCCTCCAAGCGTGCTTTCGCTGCGATCCTGCGCGATGGAACTGTCGTGACCTGGGGACATGCAAGTTTTGGTGGTGACAGCAATGCTGTGCAAAATCAGCTGAAGCACGTTCAGCACATCCAGGCCTCTGAAGCTGCCTTTGCGGCGACCCTCGCTGACGGATCTGTGGTGACTTGGGGTGATAATGACTATGGTGGCGATAGCCGCGCGGTGCAACATCACCTGTCGACGTAGCGGAATTTCGTCGCAGTCAGGGAAATCAGTCTTCATTGTTTTGTTTTGGACACACAGCTTCGAGTTTTGGCTTTCGGGTCGGGGAGTTGGTATATTAAAGACCAGGTACATACCTTGAACCTTAGACCGGCCTTCACCTTCATCCAGTTTCCGCAATTGTAAGACAATCACAGTAACACCGCAATCCTTTACCGAGAACCTCAACACGAGAGCCGCGCTGGAACCCTGAAGTTTAAACCCTTACAGGAACCCCTGTAACCCCATCGAAAGCGAGCCCTTAAAACCACAGCCTTGTATCATAAGCAGAGCTTACAGCCATGCCGACGGCATTCAGGAATTCATGCCACACCCAATACACGATCATTTACTACAGTATGCGATAATCTATTACAGTATACTGTAACGAGGGCTTCCCTGAGGGTCCAAATGACCCAAGAATCGGGTACTTTGGTTACGGATAGTAGTAATCTAGCTAAATAGTTGGGAGGGGTTCAGGGGTTTTCGGTTTAGGAGGGTTCAGGGTTTAGGAGGGCTGGTTTCTGGCATTTTTGTGTAGGCGGTTCAGGGGTTTTATTTACGGGTCAGGGTATTGTGTTTAAAAGGGTTCAGAGGTTTTCGGGTTGGTTTATTATAGTATACCATCGAAGTACTAGAATACGCCCGGGAGAGAACTCGCCACGACAGTATCGAAGATCACTCCCATAATACGCAGACGATGACACGAAAGGCGTCTAAATGCTTACCCATCCTCTTCCTGTAGGCTCCGTATGGTATATCCCATGTAGGCCCATATTACATAGCATGTAAGGTTCTAGAAGAAGAGTCTTGACAGTGTTTTGGGAAGAACTAACCATACAGGGCCCATCGTGGGATTAGAAGGGCTGAGGCGTCTAGGAATGTTAGGGGTATGGGGGCTAGATGCTTACCCCTACTATGCCTTAGGGCTCCGTATTCTACTTATGGTACGCTATATCACAAAACCCGTTGTTCAATTCTTGAGGTCCCGATAGTACCCCTAAAGCATTGAACCCGCAAACCCTAAACCCTAGAGTGAACCGAACAGATCAGAAATGCAAACTCCGGTTCAGGCTGAGCCGTGACCGGCCGGATACCCACGGCTTCGAGCTGGGTGCAGTGCAAAGTGGGTTGAGGGTTTAGGGTGTATATTATCGTATATGTGTGTATGTTCAACATTCAAATCTTCGGGACATGTTTGGTATAGGGGCCTCAAAAATTACTGATATAAGTAGAAGAAAAATGCTATAAAGGACCCCAAAACCCTGGACAATCGTTCGGGGCTCAGGCTTTAGGGTGCAGGCTTACGGGTTGCGGATAGGGTGTTAAGGATTCAGCGCTCAGGGTTTCGGGATTTAGGCCTTCAGGGTTTAGGGCCTAGGGCTCGAGAGGTAGAGGTGAGGGCGGGCTCAGCATACAAGATTCAGGTTATGGTTCAGGGTACATTGAGGGTTTAGGGTTAGGGGCTTACGGTTTAAGGATCAAGGTTCAGGTTTTATCTAACGGTTGATGGAACTTCGACTGATCCAATCTGTCAGGTTCGGTTATTCGGTTGATTCCTGGTATCCCGTGTTGCAGACTGCGGTTAATCATTGCTCGGGCCTTGTTATGATTATAGTATAGTATACCCCAAACTTTACTCTAACTATTAAGGCCCCTAAGCCCTAAACCCTTATAGTAGCCCTGATAGATCTATTCTAATACTTAAAGGCCCCTCTATGCCTAAACCCTAAACCGTAAACCCTAAACCCTTTATGCTGTTTGCTTGGCTTCATGTCTAGGGCCACTTCCATTCGCCTGGAAGCGTTTCACTGCTGTAGCTTGGCACGTGACCGCCGACGATCCCCTACATGGAGGTCCTCAGCCCTAATATATAGTATTAGGATATCCTAATATAACGGTTAAGGGTTTAGGGTTTAGGGCTTGATATATGGGGGCTTAAATAATCGCCAATGCTACTGTTTCGCGGCTCTGGATCATGTATATGTGCGGGCTTCCGAAAAGAGGGGACCCTAATATAGCACCCTAAATAGTAGGATCCTTATTATAAGGGCCCCCAGAATAAGGTCACCCCCCTATGATCGGAAACTCCTATGTATAGAATAATGTACCGCACGTTACATCTTAAACCCTGCGAGACATAGGAGCAGGTGGAAGGCTGCGGGTTTGTCGCCAACAGGTTGCACCTTGGAGATAGTACAGGGGCCTAGATAATTACCAGTCGTATTTTGGGCGCCTTATGATTATTATGGTATACTACACCCTATTTTAGTAATTGGGGCCCCTGTATTAGACATCTTCAATGTTAAAATAAAAGCCCTATTCAGGGCAATGCAGAACTTAAATCCTACTTAGGGCCTAGTCTGGCGGCACGCTGGCACAAAAGCCTCGTCCAATCTTTCCATTCAATGGAAGAAAACAATGATTGTTTTCTTGGGAACTTGTGCTTCCCCGCAGGTGACCTTTCCTCCATTTTGATCTTGGCAAGTAGGTACTACTATGCTAGGAGCCTCGATGCCAACCTGAAACACCAAGCACCTTTTGATGAGATCCAAAGTGTTCAGGCTTGGGGGTTTAGGGCTTAGGGTTTAGGGGCAAGGTTCTTCAGACTCTGGCCCACGCTTTCTTTTGGGTGACCAAGCCAGAGAATGGGGTGTACTTCTCTAAATTAGGGTCCCATTTCAGGCCCCAGCAATAGTGTGGCACCCTTGTAAAAAGCACCCTTAGAGGGACCCGAATTTAGAGAGCCACCCATATGGACCAGGCAGGTCAATATTCAGAGTCTGTAGCTTCGCCCCTCGCTCTTGATCCTGACACTGATATAGAAGCATAATTCATTACAAGCATTATTCCTTCCGGTTCCTCCTTGGTATACCATCAGCGAGCCCAACGACCCCTGTGCTCGAAAACTTTTAAATCCGAAACAAGACCGGTCATGTGCCTGCGCGTGCTCGCAAAGAGACTCGGCGTGTCAAAAGATGCCCTGCGAAACCTTAGAAACTTATGCTTGCAGCTTCGGTGCTCAAGAGGCTTTTAGGGTTTAGGGCTTAGGGTTTTGAGGGCTTTTAGGGTGTAGGGCTTTGAGGCCGGTTTCTTTGGGAGTCCTGGTTTGCTCTCCTGTGGGCTCCGACTCTGAAACTGCAGATGCAGTGGGCGCTACCACCTGCGCACGGTTTCGCTCTTGCTTCAAACCCAAGCCCGGCAACGCTCAGCCCCAAAGCCCTGAAGATGTGTACATGTACCATACAGGTACAGGCTTAAGCCTTGAGTGCTAGGGTTTGCGGTTTGCTTTTGGGGTTTAGGGTTGAACGTTTTTGCTCTGCCCACATGCGTGAGTGAGTGAGTGAGTGAGTGAGTGAGTGAGTGAGTGAGTGAGTGAGTGGATGGCCTGGGGTGCATCTCTTCCCACATACGAGCCTACGCTGAAAGACCGGGAACACTTCCGAAAACTAGCTGGAAAAAAAAGCCCTAAGCCCTAAACCGAGTGAACTTTTAACCGAAAAGGACCCTCAACTGCACGGCCAATGCGACCCGGAGCCCTGTTCCGCCCCTGCTCACAGGAAACCCTAAAGCCCGAACGAAGCCAATGAAAATTGGGCCTTTGTATACTATACCTTAGGGTTCCCATGATTACAAATTATCACTATACTACAATACCCCCAAACCCTATGCCAACTATGAAGGCCCCTATACTCGTTGTAGCGAGATTCGCCTCTAGGCGGTAGGCACAAGCTTTGGAGTTCAGTATGCTTCATCGATCTTGATCCGGTTTTGGGGTTAGTTGGAGGTAATATAACGGAATGCAAGGAGGTGTAATATAATGGGAGAGAATATACCATAAAGTAGCAGAGCAAAATTCAATATAACATCTAGAGCTTGTAGTCCAAATTAAACCCTGAAACCTCGGGCGCTGTCCATGAATCTGCGCCTGAGGCTCTAGGGCTGCACGTGGCTTCTGGCCCACTTGTGGCTGGGCTCGAGAGCTGCGGGTTTAATGTCGGGCCTTAACAGTCAGAATAGGGTTTTGGGTGGTTTAGGGTTTTGGGTTTTGGGGGGTTTTGGGGGGTTTGGGGTTTAGGGTTTATAGTATATTATGACTATAGTATAATATAGCCCCAAACCCCTTTCTAATTATTAAGGCCCCTCTATTAGGCTTCGACGCATGCGGTGTTGGTTTTGGAGTGTGCGAGAAGGATCAAGGTCTCGAGGATCCAGGTTGCAGCGGTGAAATTTCAGACATCCAGAGTCTTAAACCCTCAACCCTAAAGCCCTAAAGCCCTAAACCCTTAAACTCTAAACCCTAAACCCTAAACCCTAAACCCTAAACCCTGAACTCTAACCCCTATAGACTCTAAACTCTAATCCCTAAACCCTAAACCCTCAGCACTGCGCCCGAAACCCTAAGGTTC